CCCTCACCCCCAATTCAATGTTGTGTGAATGTCTGAAAAGAGATTCAACCCACTTTTTCCAACATTGATCATGGGGGCAGGGGGGAGGCCAACGTACTTTAAAATGGCCAAAAACGTGAAAAGTCTCATAGTCTAACTATTTATGCCGTGAAAGAAGAACAATTTTCATTCATTCATCCTTGACCATGCCCAATTAGAACAATTTGTGGTATTTTTTTGGATTGACAGAACAAAATAAAACCAGACATATAATACCAATCACAACACATCTTAAAATTGTCATTGAGAAAAATTGCCACTGAACTCAATGTAACTAAAACACACAAATACATCGACGTATACGTATTTGTGAGATCTAGAACAGCGGAGCAACGGGAGCATCACACAACTGCGAAGGCTGCCGCCGCTGAACTTCGCAAAACAATCGTCAATCCGGACGAGATTTTCGTTCTTCTTTATAAGAGCGGGCACATGAAACTAGAGACTAGAGTATTCCGTTTTATTCTAAATTATTCGAACAAATTCTTTTAAAATGTGTTAAAATTGTTTTTAGTTGCATTTCTTGTTTATATATCTGTTATGCCTCTACATGTCCAAATGTCCCTGCATAGAAACAAACACAATCTTGAGCTTGAAATTTTCTTTACGTATAACAATTCCGTGTGACTGCCAACTCTCATAAACTGTACTCTCATTATCGGGACTTTGGTGTGAAAGATATACAACTACCTGAAAAATATAAGCAAAACTTCGATGTTTCGAGCCTAGGCCCTTCGTATTAAGTCTACTATTGTTATTTCAGTCCACACACAAAGGTAAATAAGTCTGCAAGTCAAGCTACTTTTACCTTTTCCAGCCCCAGTTACCAGCACAGTTTTTCCTGTGAAGTCAATTTCCATCTTGGCTGCATATAACTTGGTGTTCGCCTTCTACTTGCACAGCTATTAACTGTTCTTAAAAAAATAAATATACAATCAATTTCCTTCGGCTTCGCTCGAGTTTAAGTGGTGGCATTGCTCGTGGGCGTTACAACGGCAACGTCAATGACGACGTGGCCATTCACAAAAGAATTTTACCCCAAGACAAAAGCGATTATAAATTGTATTCACTTGGAACATTCCAGTATGCCGTTGTTGTTGAAGTGCTACGTACGTTATTTACATCATTTGAAGGCTCATAAACACGCCAACTTTGAAACGTTTGAAGTCTTTGAGATGTCTAAGACTAAAGGCCATTTTCCATTGCAGTCGCTTCACTCAACATTACTCAACTCTCTTTGTAGTTGCTTACTTGTGCATTTTTTGCGCGTCTGAATGCTCGCAGACTGATTTTCACGTGATTAAAATTGGTCACCTCCGCCTTAAGCCTTGTTAAGGTCATTCATTATTGCTACTCGACGATCAAGGTTGTTTGTAAAGAATTTAAATTATTTTTTTCATAATTATTCTTTTGTAAATATACTTATAGAAATCAGAAGCTCGATAATTGGTGGGGCTCATATTCATATATTTGTGTTCACAGACCATAAAAACAATCGATTTCAAAAGAAATTAATAACGCAGAACACGAATATATGAATATGAGACCCCCTCCCATTATCGAGCTTGCTACGGCACTGGAAACTCTGTAAAAATGGGCCAAACATAAAAAAAAGCCATTTTTGGCTGTCATCGTCGCGGTTATCACGTGATTATCACGATATTCTATAACATCGCGATAAATTCAATAATTTTAATTAACATGACAAAATTAAATAAGCTACACCGACACTAAAATATATTTTGTATCTTTGCCAAAGATTTGTCAGGCGAAAAACGAATTCGTATAATAAATATACTTATATGAGAGCCCAACATATAACTTTTAACAAAGCCATTAAAACAGTTTTAAAAGATTGTAAATAATTTTAATTGTAACGTTTCGTCTCTAACTTAAGACATCTTCAGACTAGATAAAATTACACGAGATGTGAATATATATAAACTAATTATAATCTATTTACAAGGTGTTATGTTATTATAAGTAATAGCATGGCATTCAGGGCGATTAGTGATTAAATGTACCCGAAATCCGAGAGAGGTTTAGTAAAAGGGGTTATCACTATCAAAAATAACTCTTGCCCGTGTGGGAAGTTGATTGAGCCGTAAATCAAATTCAGTCCTAAAGTTTCATTGCCCGTAACGTACGTCTTTACATCGTAATTCAAAATGTTTCGTAATTAACGTGATACTTCGGGTCGTAATTATCGTGATACTTCGGCACGTAATTAACGTGATACTTCGGCTCGTAATTGACGTGATACATCGGCTCGTAATTAATGTGATACTTCGTCACTTTGGTATATACTTTATGTGACCCCTTATTATACTGTATCATAATGTTCTAGATACTCTAGCCCTGAACAACTATCACTAGCCTTCCTTAGCCCTCCTTAGGCCTCCCTAGGGCTCCTTAGCCCTTCTTAGGCCTTCTTAAGGCTCCTTAGCCCTCCTTAGGCCTCCCTAGGCCTGCTTAGCCCTCCTTAGGCCTCGTTAAGCCTCCTTAGACCTCGTTAGGCCTTCCTAGGCTTCCTTAGGCCTATGTGACCCCTTATTATACTGTATCATAATGTTCTAGATACTCTAGTCCTGAATAACTATCACTAGGCCTCCCTAGGGCTCCTTAGCCCTCCTTAGAGCTCCTTAGCCCTCCTTAGGCTTCCTTAGGCATCCATAGGGCTCCTTAGGCCTCCTTAGGCCTCCTTAGCCCTCCTTAGCCCTCTTTAGGCCTCCTTAGGGCTCCTTAGGGCTCCTTACCCCTCCTTACAACACTTCCTTAGGCCTCCTTAGGCCTTCTTAGGCCTCCCTAGGCATCTTTAGGCCTCCTTAAGCCTCCTTAGGCCTCCTAAACCTCCTTAGGCCTCCTTAGGACTCCTTAGCCCTCCTTAGGCCTCCTTAAGCCTCCTTAGACCTCCTTAGGGCTCCTTAGCACTCCTTAGGCCTCCTTAATCCTCCTTAGACCTCCTTAGGGCTCCTTACCCCTCCTCACCCCTCCTTAGGCCTCCTTAGGGCTCCTTAGCACTCCTTAGGCCTCCTTAGGCCTCCTTAAGCCTCCTTAGACCTCCTTAGGGCTCCTTACCCCTCCTTACCCCTCCTTAGGGCTCCTTAGCACTCCTTAGGCCACCTTAGGGCTCCTTAGGCCTCCTTAGGCCTCCTTGGGCCTCCTTAGGCCTCCCTAGGCCTCTTTGGCTTCCTTAGGCTTCCTTAGGCCTCCTTAAACCTCCATAGGCCTCCTTAGGCCTCCTTAGACCTCCTTAGGGCTCCTTAGGGCTCCTTAGGGCTCCTTAGCCCTCCCTAGGTCTCCTTAGGCCTCCTTAGACCTCCCTAGGCCTCCTTGGGCGTAATTAGGCATCCTTAGGCCTCTTTAGCCCTCCCTAGGCCTCCTTAGGCCTCCCTAGACCTCCTTGGGCCTCCTTAGCCCTCCTTAGCCCTCCTTAGGCCTCCTTAGCCCTCCTTAGCCCTCCTTAGTCCTCTTTAGGCCTCCTTAGGACTCCTTACTTCTCCTTACCCCTCCTTACAACACTTCCTTAGGCCTCCTTAGGCCTTCTTAGGCCTCCCTAGGCATCCTTAAGCCTCCTTAGGCCTCCTTAAACCTCCTTAGGCCTCCTTAAACCTCCATAGGCCTCCTTAGGCCTTCTTAACCTTCCTTAGACCTCCTTATGGCTCCTTAGCACTCCTTAGGCCTCCTTAGGGCTCCTTAGCCCTCCTTAGGCCTCCCTAGGCCTTCTTAGGCGACCCTAGGCCTCCTAATAAATCTTCACGAGCTAGTATTTATTATTTTTGCAAGCATAGTGTACGGATTTACATACTATAAGTTGGCAAAACAGTCAAAAAATATTGCTTTGGAAAATGTTTCCAATCGACAGCAACAAGCGCGAGTTATTAGAGAGAAACGATTTTTGAGAACAATTATCCTGATAGCGTTGTATCAGTCGCTTGTATCGTGCCTTCAACGATATCTTACTATTACGGTGTCCCGCAAAAGTTGAGTACCAATGACGCGGTCGTTCGAATTCTGAACACAATATTTACTTGCATATTTTACGTCAATTATGCTGTAAACCCACTCGTGTATGTACTGCGTTTGCCAAACTATAGAAAAACATTTTATTTGCTGTATTGTCGTAAAACAGCAGCGCGGTAAAACATCCAGTCAAGTGAAGATCAGTGGCGCCGGCGAAGGGGACGACTCCCATCAAAATTCGAGGCAGCTCCAAGTTGATGAGATTTGCATGACATGCAGTTGGAACATTCATTACAAGTAATACTCTTATCCTTCCTTGACCGGTGCGCTTCAAGAGCAATTGTTTTAAAATTTGTCCAAAAATAATTTTTGATGAAAAAATTTCTCGTCTAATGAATATTTCTTCTCGTTATTAACATACGTTTTAATATATATGCCAGTTTACAATAAAGTCTCATAATTATCTGCTGGATTTTAATACTTCTGATTCTATAAAGTTTAATTTTATTCTGCAAAGTAAACAATGTTGTTCATTAAAACTTCAATGATTTAAATTAAAAACTGACATTAAAAACCTTTTAATTCTCAAGATTCGCAAGCACGCAATTCTGAAACCGTCCTCGGTAGAACGAAATTTTCAACGCAAGTTATATTAACAGTATGGAGGACGACAATTCTTATCACTTTCCTGAATTGGGATATACGATCATAATATTTCTCGTTGTTTGTAGTTTTGGTGTAATTTCACAAGTATTACTTGTAATTGCATTGATAAAAGACCCACTAAAATGCTTCAAAAACTCAGGGACATATCTTGTCGGAAATTTAGCTGTTTCCGATTTTTTAACCTGCCTCCTCTCTCCGTTCGTATTTTATGTACCTAAAAACTAGGTTGTACAATTTGTCGCGTGGTTCAGCGTTGGGACATCCAATGTCACATATCTTGGATTCACTTTAGTCATAGACCGAATTGACTGACGGAATTTCTTACTCCAGTATATATAGAGCTCAAATTCTGTGCCTGTGACTGGCTTTTTTATTATACTGATAGCCAACATGTATATATAGGTGCCAAAACTTGACATGTTTATTTATTCCATTTTTACGTATTCTATATAAAACTATCACTTCATGCATTTATTCTTTCACATATACACTACAAAGTTCTAATTAGATGTAATTAATCTAAGTAATGTGCATGGTATAGTTCTAATTTGCTGGACCTAGCTTTTTATCTCTGTGTAGTTTTGTAAGGCGGTCCTCATCACTGACACGGCAAAGTCAGCGTCTTCTTTGGTAACACACATGGGTGGCTTAACTCGCAAAGCTTAGGAACGAAGATGTATATAAAAGTTCAAACAAATTAACCACAAGTTTTGTTGGTCACTTAAATTAAATATTTATTTTGTTGTTAATTTTTTTCATTGTTTACAAAATCCTACTGTTCTCCATGCCCTCTAGTCACATATTTTAACTTAAACATGAGACACTATCCAGCGATCGGAACGTTTCATTGTCCTTTTTTTTAAACCCCGCCATGCCATGCAGTCACTCGTCGTTTTATACCTGATAAAGGGTTCGCAACGCGGTCTTTGAAATCCTTGAAAGTCTTTAAATTTGAATTCAGGTCTTTAAATTCTTTGAAAAGTCTTTGAATTGTGTGAAAAGGCGAAGAAAGTCTTGCAATTCTTTGCTGAGGAACTGATTATACAATTTCCTAGCTAATAAAATAGGTTGATTTTTTTGCAAATATCGATGAAAAGGCGCATTTTAGGGTGTGATTTGACATGACTAATTACCGGGTAAAAATGGTGCAATCGCTCGTAAGTTTTCGACAGCTGACTGCCCTTCAAGATTTCATCTCTTTGAAAATAGACGAACCCTGTTAAACAACTTTGTACAGTCGTGTTTCAGTGGTCGGAATTAATGTTTCGTAGCCTTTCCATTGGTTTGAAAATCCCCACTGTCCTCCATGCCATCCTATCATCCTATTTTTCCTCAAAGGTCCTAAAGCCGGCTTCTAACGTGCTGTTCTTTTACAACAATACACCAAATAAAATGTTTTTCTATAGTTTGGCAAACGCAGTACATACACGAGTGGGTTTACAGCAAAATTGGCGTAAAATATTCCAATAAAAGTACCGTGCAGGATCCGAGCAGCTAAACCATCGATAAACAATTTTTTGTGTACAGCGTAATGGTAGTATGTCGACGCGGGTAACAGACAAACAACTGTAATACACGCTATTAGAATAATTGTCCTCAAAAATCGTTTTTCTTTCATAACCCGTGCGTGTTGGTGTCGAGCGGAAACATTTTCTAGCGCAAAATTTTTCGACTGTTTTTTCAACTTGTAGTATGTAAACCCGTACGTTCCGCCTATAAAGAGAATTACTACTCCACCAAGAAGATACATCTTGAATAGATCCATATCATCACCAAGGTAAATTTGTATCGGATACACAGAACTGAGAAGCCAAATACAAGCCAGCCACACGATTATAACTTTTCCTGTCATTAAAACACGATGTTTTAAAGGATATACAACTATGAGAAAGCGATCGAGGGAAATTGAAGCTAACGTAAGAACGGACACAGAAGTGAT